ACTCAAAAAGAGGGGCTTTCCCTTCCCTAACTGCTGTATTCTCTGTCTCCAAGAAGAGGAGACAATTCCCCATCTATTTCTCCATTGTGAAGTGTCTCAAAGTCTTTGGTCTTCACTTCTCAGGTTGTTCGGCTTACAATGGGCCACCCTAGCTAATCTGACCCAGTTCTTCGAAACCTATTTTGCACCACCTTCACAAAAAGGAAGGAAATTATGGCACCTTGTTGTTGCCGGCCTTTTTTTGGAGTCTCTGGCTAGAGAGAAACTCCAGAACCTTCAGAGGTATACAGAAAACAAAAACGACAATTTTTTATTCTATAACTGCACTGATAGCCTTCTGGGCCAAATCCATTCCCATTTTTCCCACCCTGCACATCTCTCATTTCCTAATAACTGGGATTGCCTCCTACATCTTGCATCCCAAACAAACAGACCTAGACATCATTGGTCCCCCCCCTTCCCTAGGCTTCCTCAAACTCAATGTAGATGGTTCGTCTTTAGGTAACCCAGGCCCTTCGGCCATTGGAGGAACATTGTCGGATCCTAATTCAACCATTTGGACCTTCTTAGAATTCATTGGGCACCAAGATTCGACTTTCGCAGAGGCTAAGGCCCTTCTAGTAGGCCTCAACAAGGTGCTAGAATTAGCGCTAGCAGTACAAGGCATTTTGGTGGAATTAGACTCTTTCAACATTGTCTGTTAGGCCACACAGCTACATCAGCCTCCCTGTAGGCTCTCATATATCTTTGAGCACATCTATTTCTTATGCAACTCCCTTCCTTAGGTGTCCTTCACCCATATCTACAGAGAGGCAAACTCAGAGGCAGATCGACTAGCCAGAGGGGGAGCAAACCTTGGCTCGTCAGCCCAGCTAGCCAACTCAGCTAGCTACATAACTTGGACTCCCTACTCCCCCTCTCTAACTCATCTCTCCCTTCTTATTCTTTTTCAATGCTTTACTGTTGTAATAGACACGAAGGAGACAAAAAAAAAGAGGAAAAAATGAAGGAGAAGAAAAAAAGGGAAAGGAAGGGGAAAAAAGGGGAGGGGCAATTTTCTGATCATAGACCCCTGCTTTTTGTAGTATTGTTGTCAATAATCAATAATCAGTTCAGTCTCTCCCTCTCTTTTTACCTCTTCATGTTCTGTCGTCTTTTCCACTGAAGCACTCTTACGAAAGGGCCTATTGCTTCCAACAGCTTTCTGGTGACCATCGTCTTCAGCCTCTCAAGGTATGCACCTCTCCTCTCTCTCTCTAAACCACCTATCTTCTCTCTTACTTCTCTCTTGCCCTTCCTTCACCTCCTACACCAGTAGCAATGCCTCGGAAAACTTCTCTCTGGGAATTACTCTCTTAACTTCCTCCGCAACTCTCCCCTCTAGCTACTTCTCTTAACCAACCTGTCTCGCCACCACCACATCTATTCTCCTATACATCTATCACTCTCTCTACGTCCTAATCCTACCCACTCAATAATCTCCTACATCACCTAGTACTCTTTTTTCTCCAATCTTCTGATCTCCCCCCAATTAAGCCATCTTCTCTCTAACGCCCCTCATTTGAATTCATCCTATTTCCTGAGCACCCGCCCCTCTTTTCTCTCCTCTTAACTTACTCACAAAGTTTATGTTTCTCCACATTGATTTTACCCATCTTTTGAGGTTTTAAATAGACCATCTCTCGGCGATCTAAACCCTTGCCAGCTAGCTACCCGCCATGCTCATTGACAAACAGTCACAACTTGTCGTCCTTAGGTGGACACTTTTACCATCAGGAAGTTATCCCCTGCACGCAGAATAGCTCCACTCTGCACCTACTCAGCTTATGACTATTTTCGTCTGATGAAATACAAAAGGACCACAAGACAAACCTCCTACCTACAGTTCGACCTCCCCAGCATGGGTTTTGCTCCAATATTGCATCCCACCCACAGGAGCGCACTACCCGTAATTGGGAATTCTCCAACCAACCAGAGTTTGGATCACTCGTCACATCGATTCTTGAGACTTTTTGACTTGTTAGCAGTGCATCTCACCGACAGGCGTTCACTACACCAATCTGGGATTTCTCCAATCAAGCATCCACTGCTTTGGATAAATCGACTGTTTGATTTATTAGGGTTTTTTGGAGACTATCTTTTATTGCTTTGTACTATTTGTTTGGTTTTTTTCTTTCTTTTGCCTTTTTCTTGTTTATTTTAGTTCGTCTCTTCTGTTTTTCTACATTCTTATCTCCTTTGCTTCTCCTGGTTATTTTGTACACTGAGCACCTAGTTTGTGGGATGCCTACTTTACACTATGTAATTCTTTTTAGCAGTACAAAGTTAACCTATTCTCAAAAAAAAAAAGCTAAGGTGTATGATAATGGCTTGAGTAGGCATTGGTTGGATTCTTATTTTATAACATACTAGTAATTTATCTCGTGTTGTATAATGGAGCTTAGACCCCTCCCAGTCAAACCATAGTTATCGAAATCTCTTACCCAAGGATGTGATTCCGATTCTAAAAGCTAAGGTGTATGATAATGGCTTGAGTAGGCATTGGTTGGATTCTTATTTTATAACATACTAGTAATTTATCTCGTGTTGTATAATGGAGCTTAGACCCCTCCCAGTCAAACCATAGTTATCGAAATCTCTTACCCAAGGATGTGATTCCGATTCTAAATCCCGATTCAGTTATTTTGACAAGGAATATTTTCACGAAATCCGTTTCATGAAGTCAGGAATCTCGATTCCAACGCTTATAGAAAATTGTTTCTAATATTTATTGATTCTCGATTCCACAATTGTTGAATCTCAATTGTACATTTGTTGAATCTGGATTCCACATATAATGATACTCTCTCCATCAAATTGGAAACGCATAGGGCCATGAACTACAACAAAATAAACAATTTCAGGGCTTATGAGAAGCATCAAATTTGAAGCTCAGACTCTAAAAAAATCGGAATCTCGATTCCATATATGAAAGAATCTCGGTTTCATATCGGTCGATTCCAAATAAGTCAAAAACCCGACTCCCAAGAGGACAGAATCTCGATTCCATATACGTAGGGATCTCATTTCTATTTGGGTCGAATCTTGATTCTTGTAAAGCAAGAATCTCATTTTCTTGCAATTCCCCTTATACGAACATATATTCCGAGAATAGGAATCTTCTAGCCAGCTATGATTCTGCGATTCCAATTCCTTAACCATTCAGAACCTCAGGCGTCTCCAGCAAACAATAGTGAAAACCTCGATCCCAGGGACATGGGATCTTGCTCCCAAGTATGCTAGGATCTAGCTCTTTAACTTGTTGAATTTACGATGATTCACAAATTGGTCCCACTACCGAACCCGCTTCTGCCTTAAGCAATTGTGTTCTGACCTTAAGAGGTCTACATGATCAATGACCACCATTCCTAGTTCACAAAGGATGGGGAGGGAGATAGATGAGGAAAAGGAGATCGATTCCATCAAGAAGATAACAATACATTTTCGTATGTGTGTGTGTGTGAATTTAGGCTGCCGCATGTATGCCTATATGTGTTTTTGGGGCGCCCACTAGTGCCTAGGTGCCTTCCCCCATCCCCCCACCCCCCCGTGCAGGGACCACCAAAAGAAACCCCCTTCCCCCAAAAACCGAGGAAATAAAAACAAAGAAAAGCATTTTACCGATATTGGATGTGTCAAATTGTAGTCAAGTAATCATGACGCAACCAAAGGCAATTATGAGGCAATTATGAATGAGTGTGAGAAAGTGCCAAGTAGGAACCATCTTTCTTGTCGTAGGTGCCACTAACAGCATGACTGTCAGTGCAATTGAGTTAGGCACTCCTCTTTCCAAGGCCATGAATTCAGCTGAATTATTTGAGTTCTTCCCTATTGGCTATGCAAAACCAACCACAAAATTTCCATTATGATCACAAATAATATCTCTACTTCCATACATGCCCGGATTCCGAAAAGATGTGTCATCAATCTTAAGCATGGGGCAATCAAATAATGTTGCCGAACAATTTACAAATGAAATTCTTGGATGAGGAGATTGTATCTATTGAAATTGAAGATTCCTAATGTGAGTTTTTTAAAGGGGTGACAGAACTCCATTTTCGCACTGCTTACAGTTCTCTAGTGTGGATAACAATACACCTAAGGATGCGTTCTCAGGGAGAAGACCTTCCTTGAGACATGTGGTTACTTTCCTGCCAAATGAACCATATATCAACCAACCAGGAGACCTGAGTCATACCTTTCGATTTAAACTTAAACTTCCTTCATATTAAGAGCAAAGAACATTTGGAGGAGATCATCACCAACAGGAAATTCCCTACATCTTTAACATCAAGTTGCACAAAAGATGCTACCAAGGAAACCAATTGATAAACCACTCCATTTGATGTTTGTGGATCTATATCACCTGTAATTGGTGTGACTTGGTCCTTTTGGACTGCTAGATCTTGTGCTGTTTTTATGCTACCAGGGGAACCAACCAATACACCATGGCTTTTCCCACTATGGCACCGTAGTGTGACTTGGTATTTATGTGGTGCTAGACTATGTGCCTTTCTTGATTACATAGTTATGTTTGGAACTTTGGGTATCATCCCAACTTTCTTTGTTTGGGGCTAAACAGATCTTCTCAACACTCTGTATCGATTGCTCAATTGGTAGCTACCTTAGTACTTTTGTAACAGGGTTTCTTGTTTTATGGTCGAGTTCACTGCGTGACTTGCATTACAAGGATTTCCTCCTCCATAAATCATCTTGTGGTGCAAAAGGATTTTTCTATGCATGTGCCGTATTTTATGCAGGTTGTTATCTAAATTGTGAAATGCTGCTTTCAAGCATCATATCTCAGAGTCTTATGGTACTTTTTCCAGCCTTTTCTGAAAATGCCTTGGAATCCACTAATAATTTGTTTAGTATAGATTATTAGATGCAAGAGAATTACTTTCTCTAGTTCTTTTAGCTTAAGCATATGGCAGTATCTTACCAAATTATGATGATAAAAGCTTGCAGGGCATGAATTGTATCAAGAATCCTTACCATCTGGGGGGATTATCACTGGAATAGGACCTGTACATGGGCGCCTCTGTATGTTTGTTGCCAACGATCCCACTGTGAAGGGTGGAACCTACTACCCTGTAACTGTAAAAAAACATCTCAGAGCCCAAGAGATTGCTGCTCAGTGCAGTTTGCCATGCGTATATCTTGTTGACAGTGGCGGAGCTAATCTTCCAAGGCAGGCCGATGTCTTTCCTGACAAAGATAATTTTGGAAGAATATTTTACAATCAAGCGCAAATGTCTGCTGATGGGATTCCCCAGATTGCTCTTGTTCTTGGTTCTTGCACAGCGGGGGGTGCTTATATACCCGCCATGGCTGATGAAAGTGTAATAGTCAAAGGCAACGGTACTATATTTTTAGCTGGACCTCCACTTGTGAAGGTTAGTTTCAGCACACTGATTCTGTTGGTTCTGGCCATTTCATGTTTTCATGATATCTGGATCTGTTTAAAGTTCAAAGCAATTTGAGATGGATGGTTTTATAACCTAGGTTGTTCTGAAGAAGTACTTTTGGTAGGCTGCAACTGGTGAGGAGGTCTCCGCTGAAGACTTGGGCGGGGCCACAGTGCATTGCAAAGTATCAGGAGTGTCTGATCATTTTGCTGTTGGTAATTCTCCTTTTTGAAATAATATTTCTTCTTCTTTGTATCAACTATTGTACCCATTAGATGCTAATTTCTCATGATTAGACAATATGTTATATGGTAACATTACCTTCTAATGGTTTTGATTTGCTTTTAGTAATTCCCGTTTTTTAAATAATTTTTCTTCTTCTTTGAAGCAACTGTGGATTGTACCCATTAGATGCTAATTTCTCATGATTAGACAATATGTTATATGGTAACATTACCTTCTAAAGGTTTGCTTTTGTATAATATATTCCTATATTTTGGTTTGATTAAGTATCTATCAAATAAAAAATAGTTATCCCTGCCAATATGATGCATGATAACTAAATTTCTGTCAAATAAAAATATTTTAAGCAGCAAAGTGGGAATTAAGGTTATCTTATTACTTGGAATTATAGATGGCTTCAACCGAGCTATACAGATGGAAGAATTGGAAGGATTTCTAGCTCATTTGAGCTTTTGTCTACTGGCTGCATGGTTAGTTATTTTGGACTTAGTTAAGGAGGCCCCTGTTGGATTGGGTAGTGCTAAGAAGACTCGTCCCTCGCTGGATCCACCAGATATTACATCCATGTCAATCATCTGACGTGGAATTGGACTGATTTGGACTCGGCCTAGTCTGACACGTGACTGTCTTGTCCATGTGGCTTGGTTGTTAGACTTGGCAAGTCCATGTATTTTTTTTCCTGCTGTACCTCTAGAAGGATCTTATTTCAGGCTCGTCCTTTGATTTTGCGGACTTGTCCGAGGATTGCTTCTCACCCTCAAATCCGTTGTTTGTACCCTTCTGCATTCGAGGAAATTATTGGGAAATGAATAAAGAACTGAATCTTTTTCGATAAAGCTCTTTGGGGCCACAGTTCAGGTTTCAAACTTTTGCTGTAGAAAGTTTCCAATCTTGCGAATGAAGCCATGTATGCATTTTTAGTTACAGTTCCAATATGGATTGGCATTTCCCAAAATAAATGGATAAATAAACTGCTTTTGCTTTACTGTTTTTAGTTTTCAGGAACATTATTTACATCTTTATATCTTTTATCATAGTGATGGACATTTTTTTAATGATTAGTCCAATTTTTTGAGCTATTATGAGTACATTCACTTCCTGTATTCCCCTGCTTCGTATGACTTGGCTTTTAAGAATCTGCGAGAGTCAATCGGTTTTCAATTGGTTTTGAACAGTAGGAATTCTTCTTTGAGCAACTAATGACAAGCTTGGTGGTGCAACTTTAAAAAAAATTTCTGCATTATTTGGGCAACCTTTATTATTAACCCTACCATGCACCTCTTTTACAGGTGTCACTTTTGAAATTTTGTGCAATGCAACTTGAAACAAAAAGAGTAAAAATGAACTAAAAGCACCCAAGATATGATTGCTGCCGTATTCACAAATGTAGGGCTCAAAAAAAGCAAAATCAGCAATAGAAAAACTGAGCTGAAAATCATTTAGAGTGACCCTCTAGGATTTCATATAATTCGTGATTCCCTAAGGTCGCAGCTAGTATTACACATGCTTTGTAGGATGTCCTGTTCAGGCTTCTCGAACCTTCTCCTCCTAGGCTACCGTCTTCTCACACATGCATGTCCTGCTTTCCTCCTGGCCAACAATCTACCATTAGGCGGATCCAAATTTCTCAATTGAGGCAACCTGTAAGCCTACCCCAGATATGTATCCAAGGACTATTGCTAGCTGTATCCTGCCCTGGTTGTGGGCTCCACCCTACCTAACCAAGGCTTAGCTGCACATAAAGCTGAGGGTGATAGAGCACTCCAAATCCCAATCATAGATTCTGCTCAAAACCAGCAGTCATGCCAAAACCATCCTAAATCACATAGGGCCCTTAAATCCCATGGAGCTTGCTTTCATGGCCTGTTTGAGCCATGAGTCGAACACTCCCGCTCAAACTGGGAGTCGTTTTTTAATTGATAAAAAAATGCATGATTGCACGAAATACATGGCGAATACACGAGCTAGGAATCAAGAACCGACTGCTAAGGCCTTTAATGTCCAAAAAAGACCAGCATTTGCTTCATGTGGAACTATCCAATGCTTTCACTGTATAAAGCAGCTCTGGGGCATGGTATGAGCCTCATAGATAATTTGATTTATATTTTGAATATGTTTTAATTTGATTTATATTTTTGAGTCTGATCCTAGACTTTTTATATTTGTGGGTCGATTTAGAAAATACTAAGCAACATTAGATTTCTATTTGGAAAGTAAAGTAGACGAGAAATGAATAAACTTCCTACAGATTGAGTTCATTGCAAGTTCAGTTTCTTGGGATTCTTGCAGTGTCGAGGCTATATATATATATATATATTTTTATTTTATTTTTTTTATTTATTTTTTCTTGGTGGGGGGGGGCGGGAGGGGGGGGGGGGGGGGGGGGTTTGGTTCTGGCCCTGGGAAGGTCCTTGTAGTTAGAATTCCATTTACAGCTGAGACAAAGTATGGACCTTGGATCTGCAATGAAAGAAGTTTCAGGCTAAAAATCACTAGCTTATCGAAAATTTATTATTAGAACTATAATTGATGGAAATGAACTATATCATCATATGTGAATTCACTACTAGCAGTGAAATTGACTTTCCAACTTTACTTCAGAGCATGAAAATATGTGGCAAAAGTTTTATGTTAGTTGCCAACCTAGCACAACCCTCCTTTCTCTGGGCTTGGGACCGCTTTGGGCCGATTAGAAGGAGCAATTTGATTCAAGTGGAAGCTCTAAAATGGCAAGGGGATTGCTCAAAAGAACATAGATTTAAGTACTGAGACGAGATATGATGACTTATGGTCTGACTCAGGGGTATACCCTTGATAGAGTGTAATGGTAGAACATGATACGTATAGCAGACCCCAAATATAGTTGGAATAAGGCTAAGATGATGATGATGATGTATATGTATTATTAAGCTTTTTTTTTCTTCCTTTTTCTGGGGTAAATTATGTAGTACATGGTATCTCAGGTGATTGCTAAAGACTTAAGTTATTGATATTGCATTCTCCCAATCTCTATCCATGGAATTGAATCCTCTATTTTTCTACCAGTAACTGTTTGATGCAGTGGTAGCTTCAAAATCTTATAATTCAAGAATTTCATTCCTGAGTCCTTTTTTTTTTTTGGGTAATTCAGTGGGGAAGACAGGCCCCTACCCGTTTTTTCAATAGATTGGGGGAGTTACATTTTGAAGGTGTTAATTGGGGGTGTCAGCGGGAGGAATGGATACCACGATGTGGTAACTGGGTGTGGGGATGCTACCACCACGACCCCAGCCTCTTTCCTATTCCTGAGTCCTTTGACTGAACAAATATTTATACTGCTCTTTAATAAGAGTGAGTTATGTAATTTAAAATGAGAATATTGCTAATAACTTATATTTCACTTGTTAAACCTCAAAATCTGTAGTTTTGATGTGATTGGTAGCACAATTCTACAAAATTGTACATGACTGCAGTACACACACAGACAGAGATTTACATATGTCATGAACATTATCATCATCCGAGCCTTATCACAACTATTTGAGGTCGGCTACATGGGTCTTATTCCAAAACTCCGCTCCATCAAGGGTAATATGCTTAGTCAGACCATATATCACCATATCTCTTTTCACTACTTCCATCCATGTCCCTTTAGGCCTTCTCCTTGCCATATTAGAGCGTTTCACTCGAACGAAATCATCTCTCGTGGCATACCCAACGACACACCAAGGTGGGCTTGCAACCAGAAGTTTTCCATACTAAGAAGTAGCTGTCAGAGATCTACTTCACTTGGAGAGGCTCAAGTTCTGTCATCTCAGAATAACTAAGAAAACAGAGCTTACTAAAGTTCACAAAACAAAGTTCACAAAACAAAGTTCACTCTTCTTTATCTTGTAGGTTACCTTCCATCAATAATCTGGAGATGGCCATGGATTTCTTAAAATCAGATCATTTTCTTTTTCTTTCCCTTTAACTGATCCCTTTGTGGGTTTTACCACTAAATCAATGTTCTTCTGGATTTATGTCAACGGGTCCCTTTTTTTTTTGTGTGTGTGTGTGTGTGTGTGTAGTGGTGTGGTGTGGTGTGTGTGTGTGTGTGTGTGTGTGTGTGTGTGTGTGTGTGTGTGTGTGTGT